ATTTTGGAGAAATATGTTTAGGTCTGGCATTGAATTAAAATATTTATGTGCACACGCGACCATAGATACTGCAGCTAACCACCTGGATGGGGTGTGATATAACGTGGCCTGTGCATAGAGGTCACAAGAGGCCCACTAACATTTATAAATTAAAGACATGAAATCTGACAAGTCATCAAGAGGACAACAAACGACAATCTTAAAATTTAATACAAAATTTATTTAGAATACAGTGTCCTTGTAGGTCAAATTAGCATGTTAGTCCACAGTTAGAAGTTAGTTACCATGATGAAAAAATGCACAAAACTTAATAAAAATAGTTTTATCATTACAAATGAATGAAATTATTTTAAAAATTATTTTTTAGAAAATCTTGAGATTTTTTTTTTACATCTGTTACCCACTACTTATTTAATTTTTACAGTATTTTTATTTACTAAATCCACACCCCAAATTTTTATGATAGATTTAGATATGCCATCACAGCTTTCATTCCACAGTTTCTGTTTTTGTAAAGCTTTATCTTGAGCCCTATTTCTTGGGACATTTTCTACATAATGCTGATTTTCTGTTCAAGGTCATTCTCATCATAATTATGAATACCTATGTTGTCAGCACATACCCCCCCCACCGCCTCATCATTAGTACATTAGCATCAGGCATGAAAGCAAGATCGTTATTTTCTATTAGTAGATTCATTTGGTATGTGGTATGGAATGCTTAAATGATCAATGCCCATCTCTTCACAGTTGGGCTTGTAAATGCGCAGGATATAGACTAGGAAAAGATTACATAGATTGTAATAGTTGACGTAATGATGTTGTTATAATATTTTAAATTAACACTGATTGGTCAAATATTACACATGGTGATGTTAATTTTAATCCAACAAACACTTTGATTTAAATTGTGTGTGTTGTGGAATCTTTTGGGCATATTTGTAATATTGTCTGTTATTGGGTACAAAATAAATTTTGGGTGTGTTTTAGAATATGATATCTATTGGGGAGGATATAATTTGTGCTATAAATAGATTTTATTTCTTATAGACGCATTGAGCTTTGTGAAGTACTTTGCATTGTGCATTTCTGTGAAAACTTCTTCTGCAGCTGGGGGTTTATAATTCACTCTGTCACAAGTTCACAAACCAGTGCTTTAGTTCACTAGGCTATTGTTCTGTATAGAAATTATGAAAAGGTTGTTTGAGGATTGAACTCAAGGACAGTATATTATTTATCTATTTGAATTTTGTTATATTGTACCTGCACATATATAATTTATGAATATGAAATTTTTGCCAATTGTAGATCAGGAAGAAGCCGTGTTAATCATTTTAAGTTTCATATCATTCTCAAGAAGACAAAGAGTGTCACATTAAGAAGTGAAAGTCAATAAATAGCATGAATTATAGCTTAAACAAAGTACAAAACTACAAGTGGGAATTACATTTTGTTTCAATCTTCAAATAAATATCATAACAAAAATTTCAAAATGGAACCAGATTGAATTGCTGAAAAATGCAGCCTTTTTTATATTTCAGTTGTATGTAATTCCATTGTCATCTATTTTACAGAAATATTTTTTTTTTTTATCATAAACAAACTTATGTTTTCATCAATTATTCCTCTAAATTAATTTCCGTTATCATCAATTATGAAAACAGTATGTGTTTGTAAAACCAGGATATAAAAAAACATATCCTAAATCACCAAATCTTGAGTGTTTTGCTGAGATTCATAGTTTAACATTTCATTTTCAACAAGTTGTTAATTTTATGATTTATTGTGTTCATAATTTCACACTTTTGACAATTTGGATTTATTTAGTTGCTTAGCTTCAAATACAAACAGTTGAAGTCTCTTGAGATGAGGAGTAACTCAACTGGGTTCTGAATAGTTTCCAAAGTGTTTGGGATTGTGTCAATTGACTTGTAGCATTGAATTTTCCCAGAAATATGTTACAATATCTATGAATATATTTATTTAACTGTGTAGGAATGAATTGCTCTTAAAAACCAATAATAGTTTTTTACAATATTTTTTAACTAATGTTCAGCAAGTACAAGTCTCAATGGCCACTCAAGGTAGAGGGTCAATTTTTGGAGTTGTATTAGTGTAAGAAAAGGGAAGATAACAGGATAGACAGCTGATTCTAGACATGAAGAGGTTAAGATTTAATTAGCGAATAAAATTAGAGTAGACTTTAGAAGAAACTGGAAATCCAGTCCTAAACAAGAAACCTATACTCCTGTTCAAAAGACCGGGGAGGTGTGTGAACCAGACAATAGGCAAAGATGCTATTTTTAGAACTAAATCAGCTGAATAAAAGCAAAATTAAACTTGAAATTTTTTTTTTTCAGAATTCTGCCATGTTTTTTCTAAAAAAAATGTGAAGCCCTTTAAATTATGTTTTTTTTATGAAAAGGCTATTTTAATCCAATATTGGTCTCTGGTGACCTTCAGTCACTTAAAAAGTTATTACATTATATCCTATCTTTTTTTCTATCCAGGTTATACCTGTGTAATAATTTGTCTCCATAAAGATAATTATTACATAAGTTCTTTTATATGGCAGTGAAGGCTGGGTAATCTGCTCAAAGATGAAGAAGAGACTTGAAACAACAGAAATATGATTCTATAGAAGGATTCTGAAAATCCCATGGACTGAACATATGAGTAATGACAAAGTTTTAAAGAAAATAGAAACAAAACAACATTTATACTTAACACCAGAAAGAGATAATTGGAAAGTCTAAGGCACATAATGAGGAAAGAGGGCTTGGAAAATTTGATACTCACAAGATTGACTGAAGGCAAGATGGAGAGAGTTAAACAACACATAACCTACCTTGCAAGCTTGAGTAAATGGATAGCAGTACAGGGTTTAGGAAAGATAACAAAAAGACAAAATTTATTAAAAGTCACAAAGAACAGAAAATTATGGAGAGACATGATGGCCAATGCATGAAGAACAGGGAGGAGGAGGAGGAGGAGGAGGGGGTGGATAGCTAACAGTGCTGCTCCTTGAATAAATTAATATTTTTATTTGTGGATTTCATTTAGGCATGTCTTGTTATTATGATTATAGATTAAAATAATTCTTTATAATGTTAAGAGGATGTATAAAAAAAATTTAAAATTTTAAACTTTAAAAAAAAATTTCAATGGTTTTTATCTTAAGTGTAATTGTTATAGACTCCATATTTTAATCATTTCACCCCAAGCAACTCAATAAAGCCACTATGATGCAAGGGGTTACTGGGAGTTAGAGAATATGAGAAAAAGAAAACAATATTAAGGAAAGAGGACAATAAAAGAACCAAAATTAAGAAGACAGAAGATAATGATTAAACATTGCATTTAAATTCTTGAAGATCAAAGTTGACTGGAAAGCAAAAAGCCAGAAGAGAGTTCCACAAGCAAAAAGTCAATGAGAAGTCAAAGAAGCATATTGAAAATGTGGTTTCACTGTCACTTTTAGGAAATGTAAATATTAAGGAGAAACTTAGTGAGACATACAAACTTTCAATCAATGAAAACCACATGAAGGTTAAAAAGAACCATGAAATTTTATGCAAAATAATAAACTGCATTTTATTTTGAGGAAACTTTGAAACTTCTTTATATGGACATGATGAAAAGGATGATTCTGTAAATCCAAGGATATTTAGAGGATTAATACATTTTGCATCTAAATTAGATCCATTTTACAGAATGTCTTAGAAACTAGTACAATTTTCAAAGATATTTCTAAGACCATTCAGAATGAGATACTTGACTGCTTGCTGCAAATATACTGCTGATAACACAACAGGTGTTTTGGAACACATTTAAATGGTCATTGTTCTATGGTACGTGTTGAATAAAGAAATATTTGAGCTTTTTGGGGATTCCATATTCCAAAAAATCAAACTATAGATAGAATGTCAAATCATATTCTAGTACAATCAGATATAATACGTCAAGGAAATAGACCAAAACTGATAGCTCAAATGTTTGATGGTGCAAGTGGCAAGAAATGCAAAAAAGGAGGAGTTCAAACAAAAATAAAAGCAGTTTATAGTAGTGAATATTTCATTCAATTTTATGCACATCAATTTAATACTGTGAAATGCAGTAAGTATTGTGCAAAATGCAAGAAACTTTTTTCTAACATTCTGTTTATTCCACTATTCGTCACAAGATCACCACAACTTATATTCATTCTCAAGAAGCATATGAACGTCAGAATTTGATATCCGTCCTCTACAAGGTGGAATTTTAACATACTGACCACAAACAGAGTTCATGAAAATTTGCAACCTTTAAAAAGCATCTTACTGAAATTCAGTTGATATCGAATGCGGACTGAACCATGAGATATTCAAAGTAATGTAAGCATCCTTCAATAACACTCAATGCATAAGTAAATCAAGTGTGTGACTGTAACTGCATATGTGTTGCTATAATGGACAGATATTGTTCCACTAAACACTTAGTAAATGCTAAATTGTTCTTCAAGAAAAGCTTTACTAGTTTTAAAAATAAACTGCCTAAAGAAGAGATAGTACTGACCACTGAAGCATATTCCATGATTGACAAAGTAAAGCTTGAAACTAAACAAAAAGTATTTTTTTGTATGTATGAATATTGCAAATTAATTGTGCAAAATTGATAAAAAATCTTTCTTGACAATTCTCATGACTACATCAGAGCCAGGACAATGCTTTTCAACATTGAACAAAATAAAAAAAAAACTTTTCTAAGGAGCACTATGAAAGAACACAAATACATGCTGGAATTTTTTCTTAGCCAATTAAATATATTTTTTCCTGGATTTGAGTCATTCCTAGTAGAATTGCTCGTCGTTGACTTTGTCTTTACAGAAGTGGAGTGCAAACAGGAGGTGGTTGTCTTGACCTAGTTGGACTAGTCCACATTGTTGGAACTCCGACTAGCGTTAATTCCTCATTTGTCCACTATTGTGCTTGGCCTGACTGGTTTTTTTTGTCCCCTCTGGAGAGGGAACATTTCCTCTTTGTCGGAGTCTCCCACTCAGCAGCCAGCGTCAAAGCCCCCTGGAATAGGAGCACGGGGCTCTATCAGACTAAAAAAGAAAAGTCTTAACGACTATTGCGCCCTCCAAGAAAAGTATGCCCCTTTAACCAAGGGCAATGACTTATCATTCTTGAGGACTTGGAGACAGTGGAAAAAGGGATATTTCCCTGTTGACGGGCGTGGCAACGCGCAGGTTCATTGGAATTAGCAGAGAATCCATGGATGAGGCACTAAAACATTTCCGAATCCAGCCCAAAGTCCTTGTCCGTAGACCGAATGACATTTGGGACATCCTGCTGTAAGATGAAGAACAAGCCCCAAAATTGACCAGTAGCGTATTAACTATGAAAGCTTTACGCTGTAAACGGAGTATATTGTGCCTGGCCTGACTGTTTTTTGTCCCTTTTGTCAGAGTCTACCACTCAGCAGCCAGCGTCAAAGCTCCCTGGAATAGCAGCATGGGGCTCTATCACTGACCATTGAAGCATATCCCATATTTGACAAAGTAAAGCTTGAAACTAAACAAAATGTATTCTATTGTAGATCTGATATGCATGAACATTGCAAATTAATTGAGCTTCTAAAATTTATCGTGGAAAATAATATAGATGCTGTTCTTTGTGAAATTATGAAATTGATAAAAATCCTCTTGACAATTTCCATGACTACATCAGAGCCAGGACAATGCTTTTCAACAGTGAAAAAAATAAAAAAAAGCTTTACTAAGGAGCACTATAAATCCTGAAAGACTAAATGCACTTGCAATGTTTTCAATGAAGAAAAATTTCCTCAATAGTCATCCAGGGAAAAAAGAGAAAATTAACATTTTCACTCAGAGTAAAACAAGAAGAATGGATTTCATTTTTAAATAAATGGGTAAATCTTGAGCTGTAACAATTTATAAGTAAAAAATAAATTTTTCATTTAGGATCAAACTTATGCATAAATGTTCTTTTTATGTTTTACACAATATTAAAACAATGGCTAAAAGTTTTCTGAAGCAGCAGTCCCACTAATTTTAACCACAAGCTGCCACTGATCACAGGAGAGATTGAGAAAGCAAGGGGGACAGAAACAATGCATAGCCTATTTAGTGAGCTTGAGTAAATCAAAGGAAGAGCAAGGTTTAGGTGAGATAACAAAAACACAAATTTTATTAAGAGCTACAAAGTGCAGGAAATTGTGGAGAGCCATAATCACCAACATCCTCCTTTGACACAGCACACAGAAGAAGAAAAATTCAATATTAAACTATATGTTTTATTTGATTCAATCACTTGGATAAACAGTACAATATTATATTCCAATAAGTGCCACTCATCTTTTTTCACTTGTCATGTGCTTATATTTATTTTACGTCAGTCGATTAATCCTGAAACATGTTTTTTTTACAACTATTTGGCTAAATGTCCTGTTTGTTTTAGGATTCATAAATGATAAGCACAAAGAAAGAAAACAATTTCATCTCTGATATTAAAATTTAGGATATTAACTGCTCAATCAAGCCAAACCTGATACACATGTTGTTTTACAGTGCAACAACAAACAAGTAAGTTAATATTTTGTTAACCTTGAGTTCAAATTTTTTTTTGATTTTCTTGTTAAATTTTCTGGTTTCACATTAGTGAAGACTGTTTGGATTTTGTAAAGAAAAATTTTTTAAAAATGATAAAAAATAACTTTAGTTAAAAGGCAAATCCCAGAGAATTTGAATAAATGAAAGTTTTTCTTTGTGATTTAGAGTTGCCTCATTAAAACTACTTTTTTGTTATTCCATCTTAAATAAATCAACAAAGTTTAGCTGCAATTTTTAACATCAACTTGATATTTTTTTTTTTAAAAGTTGAAGATTTTTAACACATTCAACATTATGGATAAAGAAATAGTGAATTTTATAGATTTTCTTTTTTTAAGACTTAGCATGAGCAAAAGTAATTCATAGATTTGAACAAAAAAAACGACCCTAGAATGATATCAAAATCTGCAAACATTTTTCATCCTTCAGTTGTGCTTAGTTTAATTTGTAACATACATAAATGTAGGTAAAAAAATGAAAATTTTGATAAAATAGTGAGGGATACAAACCATTATCCCGTGACCACCAATCAGGTTGCCTCCCTCAAATAGAGGGTTCAAGGTAGTACACATTCTGGATATTTTGGCAGCATATTTTCATTTAATTATCCCTTAAAATAGATAAACACAACATGTATAAATTGTTCAATCAGACATGTTCAAATGAAAATATTCTGCCAAAATATACAGAACATATAAATATATATATATATATATATATATATATATATATATATATATATATATATATATATATATATATGTTTATACACGTTTCATTAAATCGAAATATCAAGGAAAAATTAAACAACTTTAACAGCAAAAAACAGGACATTTACGATAAACTACAGGATATAACTACCCCGGACCAACTGGAGGAAATTACACATAGACTCACGGAAATTACCAAATAAATCTGAAGCTCAACACCGAATTAAAATTATAAAAAAACTGAATACATTACAAAGGAATTATCACTCTTCCTAACAAAACTGATAAATACATTAACCTTTCCAACTATGAACTAACTAAGCACCAAAAAGAATTATTTAACCTTGGACCTAACTGCCATATATACCGTAAGTACAATCGACTTTTTAAAAAAATAGAAATTGAGACCCTATACCAAAACATCGTTAAACTCCAGGATAAACAACTAATAGAAACTACACCAGAATTTAAAGACTTACTTAAGGCCGAGGCATTGAAAGATCGGCATGATAAAAGCAGAAATTCCTCAAAAATTCTTTCTAAACAACTGAAAATTGCCGCACAAGAACTACGTAACCACCCTGACATTATTAAAAAAAAAGCTGATAAGACCAACATTTTGCCATCCTAAACAAATTGGATTACAACAAAAAAAACTAGACCACATACTCCATGATCACATAAAGTTTAAAAAACTTAACAAAACCCGACCAACCAACTAAAATCAAAGCTTAATAAACTTATTAATGCTAATAATGCTGAACAGAACTCTTTAAAACTCCTTAAAATTGTTGGTGATTATAGACCTGGCTACATATATGGCACTATAAAAACACATAAACCTAACTATCCTCTCCGTCCTATCATATCGCAAATTCCAACTCCTGTATATCATCTAACAAAATACATCAACCAACTTATTACTCCCTATCTTCCTAGTAAATATAGTGTTAAGTCAACATTAGAAGTAATCCAAATCCTAAAAAGTGAAAAACCTGACAATGATATCATGGCTTCACTTGATGTTGAAAACTTATTTACCAATGTCCCTGTTAGTGAAACTATTGACATAATCATAAGAAATATATACAGTAACTCATCTTTACCCCCACTTAAAATTAATCCTAATATATTAAGAAAACTACGATTAACTTGTACTACTGAAGTCCCTTTCTTCGATCATAATAACAATATATATATATACAACGTGATGGTGTCTCCATGGGTTCAGTATTGGGCCCGACATTTAGCAATTTCTACATGTCGAACCTCGAAAATAAGTTATTTACAGATTTTAAAAAACCATCAATTTACCTAAGATACGTTGATGATATTCTTATGTTAGTTAAAAATACAGATGAAATAATTCAACTTCAAAAACGGTTCCAAAATAATTCTGTCCTTAAATTCACATATGAACTCAATACTAATAATAAAATCTTCTTCCTTGACATATTGATAAACACAAATAATAACAAATTTACTATTTCGCCATACAAAAAACCTACAAGCATAAATTCATGTACACTTAACTAAAAGAGCGAATGCCCATATTACTACAAAATAGCAATTATAAAGAATCTAATACATCGTGCAGAAACTAATTCATCCACAAAACAGATTTTTTACAGTGAACTAAAGAATATAAAACAGACACTTATTAATAATAGCTTTCCAAACTATATAGTTGATGAACAAATAAGATGCTTTCTTAGAAATCTCAATAATAAGCAAATTGTACATAATACTGCTTCTACTGATCTCAAATATATTAATCTCCTATATCGTAATCAAATGCATACTAATTATAAACAAGATGAAAACATACTAAAAAATTTAGTAAATTCTAATATATCAACTACAGATCCTAGCAAAAAAAAATAAATTAATTATATACTACACTAAATCTAGTATATCCAACTTAATACTTCGCAATGATTCTTCTCCCCGGTTAGCGATTTGCAAAAAAACCAACATAGTTTATAAATTCAAAGTGCCCTTTGGGAGATTGTATCTCCAACGAATTAAATAATATTTATATTGGTCACACCACAAACTCGCTTTCACGACGCTTGACACTACATTTTAATGAAAACTCTAACATGTCTATAATTTAAAACAACATGCCTGCCAGAAGCCATTGGTTTAAACCAACTATACTTCGACATGAAAACAATAGACAAAAAACTAAAAACTTCATTATACAATTCTAAAACAAAATCAACTATGAATAGTACAAATATTCTTAAACGTCATGAGATAACAGTGCGATTTTCGCTTCTAGCGTCTTATATGCGCGTGTTTATCGTTGCTTAGTGATCAACTATATGCGCGTTTATAAACAATGACATGTAAACTACTATCATCACTGTCGTGTCCGTATATTGTTTAATATGTTTGTGATTTACATCTTTGATAATGGCTTAAGTAAGCCGAAAGCTTAGATTATATTAAAAAATATGGATCAATATTGTGAATTTCTTTCTTCGTTTAATGATAATGTTATCAAACTTATCAGATGTTACGAAAAAATTTTACATAAAATAAATAGACAACACTTGTCTATATTATTTAATGAAACGTGTATAAATGAAAATATATATATATAAATACACACAATATATATATATATATATATATATATGTTTATAGGTAAAGAAGATATTAAAAAATATACAATGATTTTTTGTCATTTTAAATCAAAATGGAAAATATGTACACTATAAGCCCGAAGACATACAAAAAAAAAAGTAACCAATGAAGTCACTATGCACTATAAAAAGCACCAGCTCTCTCTATCGACAATATCAATAAGGAGGTCCAACCACCCTCCCACAATTATTAAGCATATCTCAAAGGGCATTGAGTGCAGACTAACAAGGAATTCCTTGTCCAAAGATATATTTGAGCCAAACAAGAAAGAATATGAAACAGTATTAAAAGAGAAGAGACAAAAAAACAAGTTGATTTTTAACCCACAACCAAACCAACAAGTGAGAAGCAAAAACAGGAAGAGAGATATTATTTGGTTCAATCCTTCGCTTTCAATCTGGAAGGGAAAACAAGTATAGGTAAAATATTTTTCAAACTGCTAAATAAGCATTTTCCCAAAACTTCTAATATACAAAAACTTTTAATAGAAATATTGTAAAACTAAGCTACTGCTGTACCAACAACCTAAATAGCATTATAAAGAAGCTTAACACAAGGAGATTCAATACAGCTGATAATAGCAACACTACTAATATAATCCCCTTTAACTACAGAAACAAAAACAAGTGCCCTTTGGATGGTAACTGCAATGTTGAAATAAGGCAGACGTGGAGGATCCCACAAGACAGAACAAAATATACACAGGGTGGACTGAAGGTGCATTTAAGAAAAGGTGGTACAACCATAAATCCTTTTTCAAATTGGAGGGCCATAGCAGTTACACAAAGATGGCAAACTATGTATGGGAATTTAAAAAGAAAAAGCCTCAGCATAAAATGATGTGTATTAATTAAGCCTTACAGATATATTGGTAATGTTTGTAGGCACTGTCAGGAAGAAAAGCTGGACATAGTGGCATACCCAGGCAAGACCAACCTGTTAAACAAAAGGTTCAAGGTAATGTCAAAATGTAGACATACCAATAAATATACTCTGAGCCAGTATGAGCCAAAAGAATAAAAATTTTTTTTTTTTCCTCCAACTCTTCACTTGCCCATCCCTTCTGATATATTTGATTTGTGGTGCTTTGTTAACTTATTAAAAAATATATATATATATATATATATATATATATATATATATATATATATATATATATATATATATATATATATATATATATGTATGTATGTATATATTTAAATCTGACAAATAGAAAACATTTCATGAAAATAGATTTGATTGAAAACAGATTTGATTATGAATTTCACCTTTAAGGCTTCATCAGATCCAAAAACAGAAGAAAGAAATGTGTGTATGTGTATTTGTGTATATGTTTAAATAATGAATCTTAGTACTTTTTCTCTAAGTTTATTTAAGCACACACACAAATACACATTTCATTTTGATGAAGCCTTGAATGGCAAAATGCATAATTTTCATGAAACGTTTTCCATTTATCAAATTTAAAAACTTTATTATGATTCCTGTATCCTATTTTAAAAACATATATTGTCAACATGGAAAACACACAAAAAGACTAAAAAGCATATCATTTACTTTCAACCCATTCTGAAGAATTGTATGAGAATTTGATTTGGATTCACTTCAGAAAAGGCAAAATAAATTTCTTACTTTTGAGCCATTCTAATAATGAGAAAAGGATTTACCTTTAATTAGATACAAAAAAGCTGGGATAAATACATCAACAACTTTCAACATGAATTAGGAATTATGAAGAAAAGATGCAGAATGGATATTAATGACTTTTTTTTAAAGTCACTCATATTCTTACTTCTTTAATCACAAGAAACATTGGCTTAGGGAAAAAGTACTAAAAATCATTATTTAAACATGCACACAAAAATACATACACACATTTCATTCTTTCGTTTTTGGATCTGATAAAGCCTTGAATGGCAAAACACCTAATCAAATTTATCTATTTTCCTGATATATTTTCCATTTGTCAAATTTACAAATTTGGTCTGTATCTCTGTATCCTATTTTAAGCACACACACACAAAAATATATATATATATATACATACAGAATACCTTCTAAATATATATATATATATATATATATATATATATATATATATATATATATATATTATTATATATAAATATATATACACAATATAAATTGAAAAAAAAAAAAACCATAAATAGATTTGAAGAAATTATTTCTCTGCACATACTCTCATTGTAATTGTCTTACAGATAGGTTTAACTTATTTTTACAAGAAAAAATTAGAATAATAAAATAAAATAATCAAAGCAAGATATTGAATCAAAGGGATGAATTAGTTTTAAAATATTGACATACAAACAGATTCAAATTTCCATAATATAGTTTTTACATTATTTGATATGATATTTCTCTAATTCCTCAAATGTTGAATGTATAATTCTAATTTTCACACCATATAAATTATAGCTTTTAATTGCGCCCTCTTCTAAGAAATCTCTTTCCTCTATCACTTACACCTCTTTATGTATATCTTTTCATTTTTATTATAATTTTTTTTTTAATATAATCTTATTTAATTTTAATATATATTTTCTAAATATAACTTGTTTTTAATTTATAAAATATATTTTACTTTTAAGTATAATCTATCTTTGGAGGAGTGTTTTTAAGTAGGAACTTGTATTTTTTTATACTTTACCTTACCTATATGATTCTATTTTAAAAAAATCCTTTTCATTCCTTTCTTAGTTTCAAATTAAAACTTCATTCTTTATATAAACACAATTTAATGTCATAAGGTTAATATCTGAGTTTAATATCCATCTGTATAGCAAATATGTTAAGCTCTTTTTGTGAATCAGTTTTAATATTTTATATTACTAGGATTCACTTGGACTATATTCCAATGGACTTATGACTATATATATATATATATATATATATAAACTAGCAGCATGGCCCAGCGTTGACTGTGCTTGATTCAAAAATTGTACAACATACAGCAATCACTATCACTTGACTTAAAATATTTTTACCGTTCCTTGCCTTTAAAGGAGTGCCCTTTGCCATGCTGATGTTGCTACATGCCTTACTTCTTGCCTATCTCACACCACAAATTTTTTCTAAACTCTATACTAAACATTGAATCTGTTACAAAAAAAGAACTAAACAAAATGAACACAAAACGATCAGCTTTAAAAAAGGACTTGTAACTGGAAAAACTGAATGAAAAAAGAATGTCAACAACACATACTTCTTCACACCCAACCCAGTTTTGCGGAATCAGAATCCACATTGAGTTTAAGCAAGCGAATAAGCCAGTTGGAGTAAAGTGCCATGCAGATTTACATTTTTCCCACTTGTGACGAATACGGCTATCGACTTTTTTTGCATGCTAGTTAACATTCGTGTCAATCAGCTGTTGGCTCTCACACTGGCCAATAGAATCTTCCTGCCTATTTGTGGTGGCTAGCTATAGGCTCTCATTCTGGTCAGCACAAAATGGCTGCAAACTACATGAAAACTGTCGTAGAAGCATGAAAAAATCGATTATATCCACTATCAATGGGAGTTGGGAAATGCAAAGTTGGTCTTGAGCTTCCCGCTAACTTGGAGTATGTGCATGTAAATTTTGGTGCAAATCTGTTGAAAATTGTTGCCATACATTCGTTACACACACACACACACACACACACACACACACACACACACACACACATTAATGCCTTTTTTATAAGATTTATATATATATATATATATATATATATATATAAATGATAAATGTTTTTTGTCTGTGCAATTTTAGAATAAGACTTTCCAAGTAGATCTCTGTGATTTTTTCTATTAGGTATTAGACATTACCACATAAACATACTAAATAGACTTCATAAATAAAAAAAATGTTAACATGAAATTTCACATGAAGAAGCAATAATTTAAAAAACTGCCATTTGACTTGAAGATAAGATATTTGAAAAGTGATGAAACTAACATAATCCCTGAATAAAAAATCTTTGATAATGGGTTATAACAGCTGAAAGTACTCAAACATTGGAAAGTTTATATTTAAATATATACAGGAAACAGGGCAAATGGTTCAAAATGTAGATAAAAATAAATGAAAGAGCTTCATTTGGTGTTAAACCAAACTTGTATAAATAAAAAATTATTACCCAGATACAACCAATATCTCTCTCTTTATCTCTCTTTTTCTCTCTCTCTGTATATATATATGTGTGTGTGTGTGTTAAATAGATAAGCCAATTTGGAAAACATATACTTTATGAATGAATTGGTATCATCATTTCTCTTCTGAATATATATATATATATTTGTATATATTTTTCCTCTTTTAATAGATGATGGAGCTGACCAAATTTGTTATATTTTGTACAATTTTTTATGGTATGTCAATGTTTTATATATTTTATAATATTACACAAAAAATCATGCTTACATCAATTTTATCAGAATTTAAAAAATTACTTTTTCATGTAAATATAACTTTATTTTCTGAGAAGCATGATCTCAAAAGAAATTTGCTACAAATTTCATATAATAAAGCAAAAGAATTTGAAATTTGTGCAGAGGCACAAACAAAAATATGAGTGTTTTCTTTATTACTTAAAATTAATTTAGTGAGAAATTGTCAAAATGTTGTCTATTTTACTAATTTTGCATGTTTACCTTAGTATATTATTTTATTTCTTGATGGCAATAAAAATGGCTTTATAAATCATCCAATCATTGTCAAGATCTATAAAGGAAAGGAAGTTGTAGAGAGCCATGATCGACCTCATCCTGATGGAAAATAGCATATAATAAAGGAGACAGTAACAAAAATATATTCATAAATCATTAAAATAACTCCCATTGCCCATTGATGGATTCAAAATAGAATATTCACAATCTACAGGGTGCCATGGGTAAATTGTCACCATTACATATTTTTAATTTTATACATGTGCTTAGTTTGTGTTTTGATTCTGATGACTGCACCATATAATAATTATCAGTTGGGCACCATATAATAATTATCAGTTGGGCACCATCTGTGGGAAAAAAAGCACTATGACGCAATTCTATCCACCAGAAATTTTGAAATGGCATATTGTACTACTTGGCATTCCCACCAGAAGCTCCAATGCAAACATTTCAGTGTGTTTGGATGTTAATCTGAGAACAGTGCAGAGGATTTGGAAAGAATTGGATGAGCCTAATGGTGATTACAAAGATACAGCATCTCAGAAAACTCACTCTGATCATTCTGATAAGAAAAAAACTCCCAAATTTGTTGGTGATGGCCTCTCATCACAAAGACTTACCTCGTGCCTTTTGGAGGTAGTGTTGCCTTGGGAAAAGTGGGGGATGCTGGAAGATCCTATATCTGGCAACAGGACTCTGCACCATGCCACACAAGCAGGAGGACACAGTCATGGTTATCAGACAATTTTTGCAACCACATCACCCCTGAAATCTAGCCACTTAACTCCCCAGACTGTAACCTCCTTGATTATTTCATGTGGGGCACAGATGAGTGAGAGACCAACAAAACTCCTCATAACACTAAAGATGAATTGAAGGCAATTATTATGTCCCATTCACCAAGTTAAACAAGGAGACCGTTCAGAAGAGTTGCAGGAGATTCCAAAGTAGTCTTGAGACTGTGGTTGAAGCCAATGGTGATTTTATTCAATATATTTTCTCTTTAGTATTTCAAGATATTTTTGTGTAATTTTGGTATATATATCTATTAAAATGAAATGTCAGTGTTATTTTCATTTTTGCATAATTTAGGCAACAATTTATGCATTGCACCCTGTATTTGGTCATGGGATAATGTATCGTGATTTGTAGTTTTATGTCTTTTGCATCAATATATCTCTGTGATTGGGTATTGAATTCATATCTTACCTTTTGTAGATGCTGTTTTTTTTTATTTCCTATGTATTATTAAGCACTTCATCCACATATTTATTTGTAACAATCTTGCTAAATATAATACATAGATTTATTTAAATGAACAAATAATTTTGAACAAAGAGTTGAATATGTGGAGGTTTTCATTTTTATCTGGCTTTGTTTAAACATCCACAAATTCATTGAAATGTGACACAAAGTTTTGTACTAAATTATAACAAAGATTTTCTAAGCAGAAGTTTTACAAGAAATTTAATATATATAATATTAAAATTTTTATCATTGATAATTTTTGGTATGTTTGTAAAATATATATCCATGTATGTGTGTGCATATAGTTGTTTTTTATAATTTTTGCCCTTGATAATGAAGTCCTTGTGCATTTGAAATATATATATATATATGTGTGTGTGTGGGGGGGATATATATAATAGTATCCAAAATAAAAGTGTAGATGATGAGACAAACTGCAAAAGGTTATAAATGACAATGTCTTTTGGTCTCAGCTTCTTCATGTCAAAATGAAAGACAAAACTGTGTGTAAGGAAAATATATTGGTATTATTTTTGAAGACAGGAAAGACAATAAAATAATTTACCTTATCAGATCCAGCAACCAGGAAGTGTTTGTTTATTTTTTTATTTTATATATATATATATATATATATATATATATATATATATATATATATATATATTATTTATTATTAAAAAAAAAATTATAACATCAATATGTTATAAAATCACAACAAAAATAGCCATTTTGTTTCAACACCCTCGGTGTCTTATCAAGTGATGATGTTGAATGTAAAATAAATGGTTTTAAAAGTTTCAAATTAATTAACGATTCTTCGCTAGGGGAAAACATTGTTACAAAAGCTAGAATGACCAATCAAAATCCAAGTATAGGAAGATTCAAAAGCTTGACAATGAAAGATCTGAACAGCTATTATAACATGAATAGCTATTATAACATGGTTTCGTTGTCAAGCTTTTGTATCTTCCTATACTTGGATTTTGACATGTATATATAAATAGTCGAGAAAAACCTAACACTCACAGCCTGACGATTGCGTATAGCATAAAACAGCTTGTTGCCTCTGAGTGTGGACTTCAATTTTATATATATCTCCAAATGGGAGAAAGAACAGATAGGGTTAAATTCCACTGCTTGTAACATATATTTTTTAAAAATTGCTCAATACAAAGTAGAGCAATATATTATTATTTTTATTATAAGAGATTATAATAAAAACATGTTGAAATCACAATTTCAAAATGTCTTTATTATAATTTCTTTAATAAAAATATATATATAAATATAAATAATAGATATATATAAATAGATAGATAGATATATAGATAGATAGATAGATAGATAGATAGATAGATAGATAGATATGGATATATGGTAATAAAAATACAACATCTCACACATACAAAATAGGTTCATATAAATAATTTTAGATTTCTGGAAATTTCACCAATATACACAACAGAGCATACAAAAATTCTGAATTCTGCACCTGAAAATTGCATCGTGCATGAAACTCAGATCATGCTACATGTGTGAGATAGTATGTGTGTGTGTATATATATATATATATATATATATATATATATATATATATATATATATGAGTTTGATTAAAAACAAGTGACAAGGTACTGCAGTTAATTTTTTTCTTTAATATTTTATTTATTTTATTATTATAATTTTCTTCTTTTCTGGACATCAATTATGTAGAAATTGTCAGAATGCTCTGTATGCTTGAGTGCTTTTGATTATAATGTTAATCATTATCAAGGATGATTTTATTTTTAGCTAAATGTATGAATCAATAACTTCATCTATGAACACTGCAAAAATGGAAAATGAAACATTCATATAACTCTAGATACATACATAAAAAATACATATACATTCAGTTAATGTAAATCATCCTTGATAATGGCTAAAGGTATGGCCCAAGGTCCTCAAACATACAGAGCATTTAGACAGTTATGTCCAATAAAGAAGAAAATTAAAAACACAAGAAAAATTAAATAAAAAAAATTTAATCACAGTACCTTGTCAGTCATTTTTAACAAAATAAAAAGAGGTATCACAGCCCAAATACAATATATATATATATATATATAAATTACATGTCACCATTGATACTCCTAAATGTAGCCGTCTCTTCTACTCTAATAGCTTCATGTCTCGCACCTCTCGCCTGTGGAACTCCCTTCTTGATCTATCCACTATCCTTCTCCTCATCTTTTCCTCTATCACTCCTAACTGATCTTGCTCCAAATTTTCTGTAACCCCTTGCGTCCTAGTGGCTTCTTGCCTTGCTTGGTGTGAAAATATATAAATATATATATATATATATATATATATATATATATATATATATATATGAGAGCTGTTTATGTCTGTGCAAATTTATATAAGACCACTCCAAGTAGATCTCTGTGTTTTTTTTTGTCTATTAGATCATATACAGCCTTGTGCTATTATTGCTTTTGCAATGATTGGTGAAATTATGTACGATCCTGGGCTTAAGTTTACTATCAAGAATTATGAGATTAGTGCATTTTCTTCTTAGTGAATCCTTTTCTCCCCTAATCAGACTGACATTTATTAAGTCAAAATTTTGCTCAGGTGTGTTACAGTGAAGCAACAGTGCATTTAAAGTAAATGTCATGCAGAAAATATGTTCAGATAATCATTTTTTGATATTTCTGGATGTTTCACTGATGATTGAGCATTTTGTGCAGTGTATATTCCTGCCCCTGTCCTGTTGTTGTTGCTATCTCATTTGGTGCAAACTTATTATTTTAGAGGTGGTGTTGATGAAATTTAGGTCAAGGTTTGATAAGTTATTTATTGTGGAGTTGGTAAGTAGGATTAAGTACCTACTTATGCTATGGTTGTTAGGATTATTATTATTATTATTTGTGGATTATTGTATTTTTTGTATTTTTCTTTATTTCCTACAAAATCAACTGAAGAAAAATATAAAAAATTCAAAAATCCACAAATAATAATGATGATCCTAACAGACATAACAAATTCACAAAATGATAGTCTATGAAGAGGCCTTTGATTTTCTCTCACCTGAGACACCTGAAACAAACACAAAGAAGAGAAAATTCAACTTATAAGAAAACTCTTTTCACTATTTAATAATGTATTTAAGATGGATATCTTCTTCTATGTGCCATGTTACTTCAAGATACAGGCGATCATGGCCCTCCACAACTTCCTATTGCTTATGGCTTTTAGCAGTTTTTCTCCATTTGCTTCCATTCCACCATCCATTCATACAAGCTTATAAGGTAAGTAGATCACTGCCTTTCTCTCTCTCTCTTTCTCTCTCTCTCTCTCTTGTTTTCACTATAACCTGTGAGGGTAAAGTTTTCTAAACCCTCCTTCATCATTGTGTGTCCAAGGAATGATATCTGTCTATCATAAGTACGATGATGCTTATATTGGAATAGTCAAGTAAATTTGTCTTCTTCAGTCATTCCAATAATTGTTTTAAATATTTCTTCATTTGCTGAAAATAACTTTTGCTTTAATTTCAGTTCCTGTCACATCTGTATCTATTCATCTTCCAAGTCAAGATCTTCTTGAAAATAAAGTTGGAATATTTGTTTGTAAAGTTGAAGAGTCAAAACCAGAAGCTTCCTTTCAGTGGGTTATTACTTACCAGAATGGATCATTGCTGAAAATTCAACAGCATTCTACAATAACTAAGACACCTAAAGGAAAACTTTGGGTAACAAGTTCCACTCTGAAGCTGAATTTAAAGAGAGACTATAAGAATATTATGTGCAAAGCGAGAATTGAAAATATGCCCTGGAAAAATTCAGAATATAAATTATTAGATATAAAATGTGAGTATTTTATATTCTTTCTCTAGAGGAGTTAGGATTCTTGTTGATGATATAATTTCCTGTCTTATTTGATCAACAAAACATGTTATCTGTTCAAATTAGACTTATTCATCATTGTCATACAAAGATTCACTTGTTAACCTTTGAGATAATTTCAATATGTATTATGTAGTGGTAATTCTCTGAAGAAAAGGTCATTTAAGTAATCCTGTTTATTCAAAGATAAACTTCCAAAGTAAATATATGTTTTTCTGATACTTGTAAAAAGAATATGATTGAGATATATTTCTCATATTGTACAATATTTATACACATTTGCGAGGAACCAGGATTTTATTCCCTTTTAAAAAAAATACATTTATATTTCCTATATAATGTAATGTAAATAGTGTAAATAAAATCTCTTTATGTATAAATTAAATTTTATTTTATGTTTTCTATATTCATCATTCAGTTTGTATTTAGAAACATTCAACATTAAAACAAAAATTTCATTTTATTATTTTTACCTCATTATTTCATGGTTTTGATTTACTTCAAGGAAATATTTTAATTTAAAAGAATAATAATTATCAGGTGGGATAAGTAAATTCTTTATTTTAATGTTACATATATTTAAATTAACTTGCAAGTTCTTCTGAATGTTAATTCCATGAAAATTATGATATAAAAAACGGAAAAGAGGAAAATTCTGTTTTTATAAAATATTTAAAGATTAAAGACATAAAAACTCAGGTAACTTATAGAACACTGATTTTATAGTCAGGAAAATGGCATGGATCAAAGGTAAAAGCAACGCTAGTATAGGATTATAGAAATGTGAATTCGGTATGGAATTTGGTATCTTTGATGGTTGTGTGTATATTGACATTATAAGAATAATTATTAATCTGAAAAGAACAACAATTTTGATGAAATATTCATATAGCATTAGTACTGTATCTTGAAATCTAGAGCCAATAAATAATTTTGGATATCATTTTCATTGCCAGTCTCTCAGTATTAGCTAAGATTGGCTATTTTTATTTGAAGAATGCTTTGATGGTTATAAGGATATATACTCCTAATCTTTATTTATCATTCAAACACTTTTGACAACAATAAAAATTATCTTATACTTATACCAATAATAAATATATATTCATTTTAAACTTATTGATTGACTTCTAATATTTATCATTTAAACTGAAATTATAAAAATAGAATCAGTGGTCAATTTGATGGCCAAATGTTGAGTGTAAATTTTATACATGTGTATTGTATGTATGTATGTATGTATGTATGTATGTATGTATGTATGTATATATGTATGCATGTATGCATGTATGTATGTATATGTACTTAAACCATAAATTCTCAATTTTAATTTGACAAAGTAATCTAATTTATTAAAATTCCTATGATTTCAACTCCAGGGTTATCCCTGAGTGTGGCATCAATAATTCAGTAATTCCCACTTGGCCTGGAAGGAGTCTTGAGCCTTATTTGGTAACCTTCCTAGAAATGAGGTCTCGATGAAAGTGCCCAGACTCCTGTGCTATGAACAGGTTAATTGAAGTAGATAGGCTGACCTGACCCTCACTCCTTCTATATTTATTGAACAGGAGTAGAGGTTTATCTCTTGTTTCTTGTTTAGGATATGGCTTACCAATTCTTCCTTTCTTTTTTATATGGTGATAATGATTTAACTATCTTAACTTTTTGGTGATCTGACTGTTTAGTAGCTGTGACTTTTCATTATAAGGGTACTAGGTCGGCAGTTTTTTGGTTGCTGAAGCTGACTAGTAGTAAAGAGCCCAGACTCTTTGGTAGCACTTAGAGAGGCTGTTCTGATCAATATTCATAGGTTATTTGTAGTGCCATGTCATGCATGAGTAGGTGTCCCTGTATGTATTTCCAGTGAGGAACCATAAGGCCACATTATGATTTAGTCTCAGCCAGTTTTTTTTCCAGTAATTTTATCCTTTTTTTCCTCAAAACAAAATCTCCCTGTAACACTGGTGGGCCTCTAGTGGTAGTAAATGCTAGTGGCATGCCACCCAGTGGCAGATTGGTGGCTTGTGTGTAGGGATACTTCTACCCACAATGTACAACAGGAAAAATAATTATATAGAAAGGTTAGTATGAGATTTGCTAAACAATTTCTTGAGAGAGAGAGGAATGAAAAACAGTCAGCACTTTCTAATTTATTTCTTTTCCTCTACTTCTTTCATTTTTACTAATATTTTCTTTTTTTTCAATTGTCAGTTATAATGATTGTATCTTTTCTTCCTTTTCTTTTATTTTAACAAATATGTCTGCTTTTGTAGCAATAATTAAATTCTGGGCTTCCAAGAACATCTTTAATTAATTATTATCACTTTAATATACATTTATTAATTTTTTTTATTTGCTTCTGCTTTGATTAAGCAATCATAAATCATCATAAAAATGTTTCTATCTCCCTGATATAATGAATATATCTTTGTTATACATTATTACATATTTTATCAATAATATATTAACTTGGAGCATTTCAAATGGCAGTACTTTGGCATAATTCTTTCTATAATTATTAGCTAAAATATTCCTTGAATTATTTCTTTTTATATACATTTTAAATTATATATTTGCTTCATTAATAGAAAGAAATTAATTTATCACCAATTTAAAAAGTTTGGAAATATCTGCATAAATTCATTAATTGCTCCCTCTTGATTATAATCCATTATGATGTTTTTCTCACATTATTTATACAATGAATTTTAATTTCTGTTTGTTAAAATCATAAAATGTATTTTGCATATAGATAGAAAATTGAAAATAACATTATTTTACACTCACTATATTCTTTTTGACAGATCCACCTGAAGGAAAGCCAAGAATCATTTTGTCCCAATCTGGAGTATGCATAGGGAAATCCATAGAAATGAAATGTGAATGGAAAGGTGGTAATCCTAATGCTACTGTAACACTATCATGTCTTTCTGAAGTCAAAGAAGGAGAAATCTCTGTTAGCATAAAAAAAGCAGTGACTCAGAAAATGAAGAGTGATTGTATTTGTAATGGAAATCATATTGCAAAACATGATTTTATAAGAAAAACTGTGAATGTTCAATGTAAGTAGATTATTTTAATTTTAGAATAATTTTCATTTGTGTTTAAATAATGATTTAAAATGAATGATTTATTGAATTAATTTTATTTGATCTTATTTAACAAGTCTAGCCCCCAAAACATTATTCAATGATTTTGCAAATTGAAATGAAAACATATTAGTTATGTAATGTCCCTCTTTCTGAAATCATACGTTGTTTTCATTTTATACTGTGGCCACAGTTGTGACCAGTTCTAGCATTCTCCTTAATTTCTAGAAAATTCTTGTTGTTCTACTTTTGGCCAATACATATAACAAAATAAGTAAAAAATAAAACAGCTTTAGTGTTGAAGGCATCCATTGTGATTAAACCTAATCAAATTTCAAGATTGAGAATGTCAAATTTGATAAATAGCAAAAATTAAATTTATAGTAAAGATGTAACTTATCTGAATTTCTGGGATGAGGAGTTATCATTATTTACACTATTTATATTTGAACTATAGTACTCAACTTTGTGGTTTTATCACAGTGTTTTAGCCATTGTGCTCTCCAGCTTAAACCATTCTGGGTAAACTACAGAGGGTCGATTGTTCTTGTTCCACTGCTCACATCTAGGGATATCGTCTAGTTCGTATTTTATTTATTACTGTTCAGTTATTGCACTCCCATCTCTACTGAGTACACACTGCCAGAACCATGGATTGAACTCACAACCACTTCTTTCTTTTATGTGTCATGTTCCTTCAGGTTCAAGACAAAGGTAATAATGGCTCTCCACTTCCCCCTATCCTTTGTAGCTCTCAATAAGTTTTGTCCCTTTGCTACTTCTCCCAGACCCTGTTCTGTCATCAACTTACTTAAGCCCACTAGTTATGTCCCATGTTGCTTTCTCTTGTCTCTCTCTATATGTATATATTTGCTCTGTGAGTATTATATTCTCTAAACCCTCCTTTCTCATTACATGTCCCAGAAATTTTGGCTGCTTCTTTCTGATGTTAAGTATTAGTTTCCTCCTTGTTTTGTCTCCAAAACCGAATTGTTGTTCACATGCTTGGTCCATGATATCCTTAGCATCCTTTTGTAGAGCCATACCTCTGTTGCCTCAAGTCTCTCCTTCATCTTTAAGATGATGATTTTTACCCTACTCATTTCTTGTTTTATATTATTATCTAACTGTCCCAAGAGTTATTTTTTGTTTGATGCAAGCAGTGGCAAGACAACAGTCCAATGACATCTGTTGCTCCTTTCCAGACAAGGGATAGGTTCTGAGGAATTTTATTCTCTTTGCACCATTTGTGCTAGCAGTGGCTGGATGACGGTCAGGTGACATCTGTTGCACATGCCTGTCCTTACCAGGCAAATTAATTCCCATAGACTTGACTCCCTTTATGCTGTTAGGTCTTATATTGTGTGTGTTATTAGCCATAATATATCTTGAGATTAATAGTGAAGTGGTTTCCTCTTGCCTTCTCCATGGTGGTTTATGAAAACACCAACTGTAGTAAGGTGGCTATTGACTCATCGAGAGTTCTTCTGCCCTTTGTTAGGTCTTATTTTTTGTCCTACTTCCTCACTTGCAAGAACTTGGAGTTGGGTAGGTAGTTTAGTCACTAACATTTTGACTATGAAATACATAACCAATATATATATATATATATATATATATATATATAAATATAAAAGTGAACACTTAGAAGCAACAGGCTGTTTCATGCTAGACGTTTAGCATGAAACAGCCTGTCACCTCTAAGTGTTGACTTCAATGTTCACTTTTATATTTATATATATATATATAGCTGATAATAAGCACTTTATTCCATAAATATAGCACATCTTATGAGTATATTTTTTATATATATATATATATATATATATATATATATATATATATATATATATATATATATATATATATATATATATAATAATCCATTGGTATATAATCCAAGTGAATCCTAATAATATAAAATATTAAAACTAATCCACAAAAAGAGCTCAATGTATTTATTTTAACAGAACATATAAATTACATAGAAGAGAAATCCAAAATAGCTATTTCTGCCAACAGGCTTTGTCAACTCAGAAGTGTGAAGAGATATAATAAGAAAACTTCCAGTTAACCTCCCACAATATTGGGAGTTTGTTTAAATGAATATCTATATTGTATCAGCTACCTCCCACTTCCCTTCTGTTCTTCCTTCTTTCTTTTTTCCTATTTCTTTCTCTTTTTCTTCTTTTATTTTTTTAAATGTTTAAATTTTTAAGTTCCTATTTTATTTCTTTACTGTATGGTCTTGTATGAGCATAACTAAATATATTTTGAATGTAATTGTATATGTTCAACTACAGATAAAATGTATTGTTGATAATTCTACTTTAAAATTGAATTTTATGATAAATAGGTATTGTTTGTAATTTACGATAAATAGGTATTGTTTGTAATTTACTATAAATAGGTATTGTTGGTAATTTACTATAAATATGTATTGTTGGTAATTTTACTATAAATAGATATTGTTGATAATTTTACTATAAATAGGTATTGTTGGTAATTTACTATAAATATGTATTGTTGGTAATTTTACTATAAATAGATATTGTTCATATTTCTTAATATAAAAACATATTGCCAGTAATTTTACTATAAAAATATATTTTTATACTTTCATCTGCTATACCATTTAGTTACAGAGGAAGCATCTGGTTAGCAAAGTCAATTTCAACAGTAATTCAACCTTGCTAACCAGACACTTCCTCTGTAGCTAAATAGTATAGCATGTCAACCTATATAAGGGATACAGGTTTGATTCCTGTTGGGGGAAACATATTTTCGATGAAATTTCTCAGACATTCAGGCTGGTAAATGTAATTAATATTGTTTATTATAAAAAGAGCATTTACTTAAATATTTGTATCTATAAAAATAATGTATAAATAGAAAATGTATTAAAATTATGTTCATTATATAAATATTACAAAAAATGGTAATGTTTCTTTTGAGTAACAATTTTTTAAAGTGGGCTTACAGTAATAACTAAAAGAACTTTAGAAAATAGATATCCTGATGAAAATGTTACTTGTACAAAAATTTTAGTGAGGTAAGGAATTTCTATAAAAATTTACTTTTCTCTGTTTGTAGGTATTTTGCTAGTGTAAAAAAACAACTCTTTCCAATTTGATCCTGTAGTGATATGCAAATTAGTATGATTTGCATATGAGCAGGTAGCTCATAATATAAATGGACAACAACTAGAACGGAGGTTGAATGCTTACTAAGCAATATACACGACATAACAGATCCCAAGAAATCCTTCTGTTTTTGAAGATATTGTATCTTAAGATGAATTTTGATGTGCTGCCTATCAAATTTTAGAATATTGCTTGAGATAAAAATTTTCTCTATTTGAATAAGGTTCTGTTTTTTTTTTTCATCTTGGCTTCAGTCACTTTCCCACCACCATAACATATATTTCTAATGCTTTTTCTATAAATATTTCCTTGGTAATTGTTCTGACAAGCTTTCCTCTTTGCTACCTAGAATTTATGAATTTAAATGCAATAGTAGATTACCAGTAGGGTCTCATCATTTGAAGTTAAAATAGCAAGAGATGTAACCATAAGTTCTCGGTTAACAGTTTCTTCTATAGCACTTCTCACTTGTGGAACTCTCTTTCATTTTCTTGCTTTCTAGTCAATATTGATCTTCAAAAATTTAAATATAATGTCAGTTGTCATCTTCTGTTTAATTTCTGTTCTTTTATTATTCACTCTCCTTAATAATATTTTTTCTCATATTCTCTTACTCAGTAACCCCCCTGTGTCTTAGTGGCTTTATAACCTTACTTGGAATGAAATGATATCCAGTAAGAGTAATTTGAAAGTGAATAACAATGGGTCAATGTGGAATATTTCTTTGTTCCACTTGTATTTATTATTCTGACTTGAATTTACCTTGGCTTCTTCATGTTAAAAAATGCTTTCCAGGTCGACCATGAGGATTCCTTCTGTGTATGGGGATATTGTGCTTTTATGTGAAACTTTATTGGTGTACTGAATGTCAAATTTCATGACATTGCATGAGATGAAAATATTCTCCATTTTCTCTATTTGAAAAGGCTATTTTTTTTCTTGAAAAATTTATGGCAATTGTTTAAAACTTTCTATGGACCTTCTATTATTCATACATTTTGCTTCCAGTGTTGATTATAACCACTTTATTTTCATCTATATATGCTGACAGTTTTCTGTTTATTACTATGAATGTAATCAATTTGGTTTCAATAATTTTCTGTTGTTTTTTTTAGATCCTCCCAATAAAGTAACAATTAATCAAGCATCATATCTTGAAAGACAAACTGTATCCTTAATTTGTGAGGCATCAGATTGTAATCCTGCAATTTACAATTACTCATGGTTACCTGGCTATTTTGCTCCCAGAAAAACAATTGATATATATTTGACTCGAGCCATGAACAAAGAGAGATTTACTTGTAATGTGTATCATAAATGTCAGGGCGGTAATCCTATATCATCAACCATAGAACTCAATGTAGAATGTAAGTTTTTGATTCCTATAAATTATTCATTACTTTTTACACTGATATTTTATATGAGGAAACATCATTTAATTGAATAGAAAAGTTGTAATTATGATTTTAATATCTTATTAGAAAAAGTATTTTGACTATAAGATCATGTGTTAAGATGAGTGAATGTTAAGAAAAATTTGTTGTTTCTAATAACATTTAAAGTTTATAAAATTAAAATGTTTTATTAAATTATTATAAATGTCAACTGGAACAGTCAAGTTCTTCACCTGATTATAAGTTGTGCTCTTAATATAAACTTTTCTAAATCAACAAAACCAGAATTTTCTCATGCCATTCTCCTTTTTTACCTTAATCAATGATGACAATCCTTATTTTTATTAGAAACAAGTTTTCCCTTCATTTAGATCCATTATTTCTATAAATATGAACACAATGAAGTCTTACATTAATCCTTGTTTAATGTCAATATAGAAATTCTGTTTTACAAAAACCTTCTGAACTTTTCCATTTCATTCATAAATCTCAAGATGATCTTTATCCTTTATTTATATTTTCAGATTATCCCATCATAAATACAATTGATAGTATGACAGTGATTGAAAATCAAATAAATGAATTTAGTTGTCTGGCAGAAGGAAATCCCAAACCAACAATAACATGGAAAATTAGAAACCAGATTTACAAGTCTAAGTTGTTGCAAGTTTCTTTTACTCGTTTTAATGTAAGCAAAGTTCAATGCATTGCAACAGCTAACAGCTCCAAACATGGCATTTTGAAAAGTTCTAAAAACATTTCCATTTTTGTTGAATGTAAGTATTTTTCTAATAGATTAACTGCTATTTTTGTTGTTTTTTATAATAGTTAACATAGGAATTCTCTTTTTGTAAATGGAATTGTCTTATTAAAGTTCACCCATAGGAATTCTATTTTAGTAAATGGACCCAGTACAAGGATCAAGAGTCATACAATCTAGAGGTTACTGAATGGTGTATATGATATGAATGTAAGAAGAAGTGATGGGAAGTGAAGATAATGAAAATAAAGAGAATAGATAACAAGTGACACTTGATTTGGAGATGTTAAGATTGTAGTGTTCAAGGGATCTGTTGCACCAAGTATAGTTCTTGAGAAAAGCTGTCTGCATGGAATTTCCTTCATACAATTGGAATATGAAATGAAATAAGAGTAATTTGACTCCTTGGATGTAGCATGGAAAGTCCTGGCTGTAAAAGTTTAAATTGATCTGAACATTTGTCATAGAAATAGCAATAGGGTAGTGATAGGCTTGTGGCATTGTGCTTGCATGAAAGAGGCTTCAGTGTGGAGAATAATTCACCCCCAACAAACTGCTTTTGGACCTTGTCAAGGCTGGAAAGTGAAGACTCTACTGAAGTTTAATTGCTACCAGTGAAGAAAAATGTATATTTATTAATATATATATATATAGAGAGAGAGAGAGCGAGAGAGAGAGAGAGAGAGAGAGAGAGAGAGGCACACACACATATATAATAGAAAAATTCTTCTAAAAATTCTGCTTTTGACTAATATAGTCACTAAAAAGTATCTTGGGGAATTTTTGCATGTTTTCATAAAATAAATTAAGTAGTGGGAATGAAATGCATGTAAAATAAAAAATATTTTTGAAAGATTTTCAATAAAAAAATTTCAAAAATAATTTCATTCATTTGTGAATAATTTCATTAAAATCCAACAATTATTTGATTTTTGCAAGAATTTCCAAATTAATGTGTCTGTCACCACAAAAAAGGGTAAAATTTCCTTTGCTAAAAGTTAGTACAACCACTGACAGAAGAAAAAAATTTTTAATAAAAATTTTGAATAATCTAAAAAAAAATAAAAAATTGAATTAATATTAAAAAAAATACTTCCTCTTAATAATAATATAAAGATTTTTATGCTTTCATTACATTTAGAGCATGTTTTCATCACATGCTGATTCTTTAGTGATCTCATGGAGATACCTATCAGAATAAACATACATTTGTTCTTCACTGATGCATCAAACAGTGAGGAAAAAATGGATAAAGCCCAAGTGTATGACAGAACATCTTAAGGAAAGCCAAACCTTACAACTGTGAAAATAACATATGTAGATTATGTCAAGAGGAGAAACTGGAAATAATGCTGTATACAGACCAAAATAAGCTGTTAAATGAGAGGTCTGAAGTGATGTCAATCTGTAAACACATGAACCTGAATGAAAATACATGTATTTTTTCACCTTCCTTTCCATTCTCTATACTCTTGCTTTCCCCACTTTTATATTAATATATATACCCTCCCATTCCTTACATTCCCTCTAACATTGCTTAAACTCTCCCCTTTTTATAAACATATATCTTTTTTCTTTATTACTTTTCCTCTACTCTTGAGTTACACCTCCCTTTATTATTATAATTTTTCTTCTCCACCCTCCCTTAAATTCTTCATACTCTTACTTTGCCTCTCCCCTTATTAAAACTTTCCCCATCCCTCTACAATTGCTTATTATTTATATAATTTTCCCTCCTCCCACCTACATTTCCTACAATATTGATTGGCTCCCCATCTCATTATTATTATTAATGTAATTTCTCTTGTCTCCCTCCCTTATA